TCTGCTTTTTAGTTCTTTTTTTTTTTTTTTTTTTTTTTTTTTTCTTTTTTTTTTTCCCTTGTGAGTCCGACGAACTTTCATCACGGAAGAGCCCCCGTGGCTGACACAATCAGGTCTTGCCCAGGTAGCCGGTGCCGGGCAAAACCCGTGTGTCTGCCATGAATTCAGCACTCAACAGCTGGAAACTGGCTGTAACTCACCGGCGTGCGCGATCGCACCGCCGACAAGCCAGCGTTTCCGAGCCCACGGGAGTCCCCACAGGACCGCTTCCCTCGGGACAGAGCCCGCAGGTCAACCGGACAGGCGGGCAGGAAAGACAGGATAATCCACGCATTTTCAAAGCCCTCTCTCTCGTACCGCATCACGCACGAGAAGTCGCAGTGCATGGCGTGGCTCGAGCCAAGATTTTGGTCAAAGTGCGAAAATAAGTTCAGGGGCCGGATGCAGTGTTTGCATCCAGCTGTTCCGGTGGCTGCCCCGGAGGGACCGATTTCAGACGGGCTGGTCCCTGGGTGGGGAGTTCAAATCAAGCGCTCTGCCAACTCACCGGGGAGAGTTTGGAGTGTATGTGTGCGTGGACGTGTGTGAATACACACGCGTGGCGCTTTCTCCATGCATGCTGAGCCTCTCAAATAAAAACAAAAAAACAAACAAAAAAAAAAAAAACCAGCAAAAAAGCCCTTTAGGGCTTGATTACTTTATTAATAGACACATTAAGTGGCCTTAATGCTCCTGGTGACTTTCTGACGGGACCGGGGAGCTCGGGAGGTGCCGGGCCCGCCCGGGATCCGCTGCCGGCGGCGGGGCTGCGGGCGGGCGCAGCTGCGCGGCGGCCGGCAGGGGGCGCTGCCGGCCCGCGGATGCGCGCCCGCGGCCCCGGCGCTCCCGCGCAGCGGGCGGGACCGGGACGGGAACGGCGGCGGAACGGGCGGCAGGAGCTGCGGGCGGGCACGCTCCCAGCTCGGCCTAGCCTTGGCCCGGCTCGGCTCGGCCCGGCCCGGCCGCACGCACTCTCGGTACCGCGCTGCCCACCGCGCCCGCACGCAGCTGCGGGGGTTTCCTCCCTCTTCCCCCGCACGTGATGTTTGGAAGGTCTGGCACGGATGGGTGCGGGTTAGGGCTTCGCGTGGAAAGCCGGGGGTTACGGGAGTCCCGTGTTAATGACATGGTATTAGAACCGCCAGTCCGACACCCCCGGGACGAAAAAAACACGCGGAACCGCGGCGGGGCCGGGCTGGGCAGCGCGCAAGTTGCGCTGGCTCGGGAGCCAGAGGGGACGAGGCCCTGAATTAGCGTCGAAAAGAGAAAAACTAAAGCAATCCTGCCCGATCGCTGTTCCCGGGTCGGTGAGAGGAATCCGGGCAGCAAGGCCTTTTCCTGCTCCTGGTTCTGGTCCCTGTTCTCTGCCGCTGAGACGGGATCCCAGCGGGACCGAAACAGAGGGGTGAAGTTTTCAGGGCTGCTCTCCTAGATGGGGAGGTCCATGGGAAGCATCCCGTGTGCCCGTCCCACCCGGGAACCCAGGATGAGCGGGGAGCAAGGCCCTGTCCACGCGTGGCTCCGGCTGCTCGGGGCCGGCTGCCAGGGGAATCCACCTGCTCGGCGGGGGCCGTGGTGCCCGGCCCCGGACTCTCCCACCGCCCCGCAGCCCGGCCCGGGTCCTGGGAACCCGGCTGGGCTCGGCCCGGCCCGGCCCCGTCACTCCTGCGGAGCGTTGCGCTTTCCGAAGGATTCGCAGGAGGCTTAGACATACCGAGTAGGGTTTAGGGCGTCCAGAAAATAATTAAATTAGGCATTTCACCCGCTCCTTTAACTCCATCAGCCCCACGCCAGACACGACCTGCCTAGGTCACCTCCCTGCTGTGTGCATGAATCTCTGGGACAGGAGGGAAAAAGGGGAGACAGATCCCACCTGGAAAAGAAAGTTAAGGGGAGGCTGAAACTTCCCTCACCGCCACCCCCATGCCCGCGAAAGCTCAGCCTGGTTTAGCCCATGAATAACCGTCTTACCCCGAGGTCTCCGCATCTGAGACCTTCCTCGCAATTTCTTCTTGGCTCGTCTTTTAAAAGATGAGTATTAGTTTGGAAATCCGGAGCTAGTGCCTGCCAGGCCAGCCATGCAATCTGACTGCGAATGTAGCGCACCCCTCCCTCCGAGAGAGGCTGCCTCTCGGTGCGCTCCGACCGGATCGGGATTGCTGGCAAGGGAGCCCCTGCCAGATTCTCTCCATGTAGACGCCAAGAGGACAGCGAGAGCAACCTGTCAAGACCTTGGGTAGGAAAAGTTCAAGAGAGGGACTCCGGGCGGTGTTCCCGGGGCAGGCCGGGCTGTTGCTCCGCTGCCGTGGCCGGGCCAGCGGAGGCCGGGGCTGCGCGGGAGGCGCCCACGAGAAACGGCCATGGCGACGAGTGCGAGAACGATACAAAAGTTTAGGGAGAAGAGGAAAATTCCGGGAAATCCCATCCCGAGTCCTTTTAGTTTTTGTTCTCACTGCTCCCGGCCTGTTTTATCTCTGAAAAAAACCCAGGGAAAGCTTGTGTTCTGCAGGCTCTGCTTGCGGTTCCTCTGCCTGGATGTGTCCCCGCGCACACACAACATGCACACAGATATGTGTGCGTATGTACAGAGCACACACAGCGAGCAGGGCTCGGACCTCCAGCGTGCTGCGGCCGAGATCACTCGCTTTTCCCGAAAAAAATCGGACTTGGATGTGGAGAGCTCCCCGCTGCAAGCGTAGCCTCCTCCGTTTAGCTCCAAAACAACGGGACCTCCCTTCGGAGAGGGATTTTAGGCTAGAGGATATTTCCCCGGCGGTAAAGAAGGTCGAGGGAAATTTATCGATCGTTTTGGAGGTTCTGCGTGTGTGAGGTTTCTTTTCAAACGGATATAATTCCTCCCTCCCCAAGTGCTAAATTACTCGATGCAGTTTTCAAAGGAGCCCCGTGATTATGTCAGGATGTCTGGAAAGAAAAAAAAAAAAAAAAAAAAAAAAAAAGGAGTTGAAGTTTTTCCAATTCAGATTCATTCTTCAGTCCCGGAGAAGTGTAAATACGCAGATGCAGAACACTGTTCTTCCTAGGAGAAGTTTCTCTCTTTTTATTTATTTTTCATTTTTTTTTTCTTCATTTTCAGTGTTCTGGAACCAAGACCCCAGTCGAAATCAGCACATCAGACACCAGTCCTATTTAGGGCACTTTCTCATCCTTGCTCTTGTCTATAACCCCAGATAATTTCGAGAAGTCGTGTAATGACGACCGCTTAAGGGGAAAAAAAGTTGCACGGAGAAGGGATGAGGGAACTTTAAAAGTTAAGATATTAGCGATTCACGAGGGACACGAGTGGGGCTGGAGGGAAATCCTTCTCTCCCTTGCTCGGCTCTCTCTCAGCTCAGCGGGGCCGGAGCCCTGCACTCCGGTGTCTTCGAGCAGGAAAGGTTTTCCCAAACGTGTGAGACCTGGCAGAATGGCACCTCGCAGCAAAATCTGCCCAAAGACTTGAGTTTCGCCGCGTAAAGCTCACTTTGCTCTGCGCTCGCACGCACGTGTGGCTGTGGATGTCTATACGTGCAGCCGCCCCACGCCTGGAGATCAGATTTACATTTCCTACAGAAAGTGAACTTCTCCCTCCACAAAGTGCACACAGCGCGGGGTACACAAAGGGAAACACGGCCTCAAACAAAGGCGCAAGAACAGCCGCATCTTTGCGTGCCCAACACTGTTTTGTCACTTATATTATCCTCTCGGTTTGGTATTGTGTTAAAAATATCGGCGAGCTGGGAACAGATGCTTTTAGCAGAGAGTGGGGAAGGAGAACAGAATTCACCTCGCCCTTTACTGGAAACAACCATTTAGACGGCGATTTGTTTTTTAGCATAATTTAATGCAGCGAAGTAACGGATTTTTAGTGTATAAAGTGGAAAGAAAATAGAAAACAACGTCCGGGAGAGAAGGAAAGAAACGCTAGACTGGTTTTAAGACTCCCCCCATCCCTTGGTTCAACAGAAACATTAATTTACATTAGCAATTCTGCATCTTTAAGATAAATTACACAGCGGCGTAATAGATTTAAAGTACGCCAGATTTTTTTATCATTAATTGTAAATGTGCAAAATACCTGCTGGTACTTCACTTTAGAAGAATGTAATTGGCAAAAATGGGAGGCTGATGAATAGATAATAGATCCTTAACTACCAATAAACAGTAAGCACCAGCCAAGAGTATTAGGATGTGATCATAATTATTCTGCAGCTCCAGCCAATGGGAGGAGGAGAACTCAGCCCTAAAATCATCTCCGGACCCAAAGGTAAACGCGAAAATACGGACAAGGCTGGAACCGGAGACTTGATCCCCTGTCCCGTCTGCGAGAGCCCGGCGTGTCCCAGCTTTGCACGATGCGGCTGCCCCGCGCTTTGTGCTCCGCACCGCGCGGTGCGGGCAGCGCGGAGGAGCCAAGGGGAAATAAATAAGTTCGGACCAGGAGGACGACCCGTTCTCTCACCGGGACGAAATCTTTCCCAAGCGGGGCATCTCTCCCTGACGCCCCGGGGCCGACCAAGGTAACCTCGCCGGGCTGAGAGTACCCGAGAGGTGGCAGGGACAGGGGTGTCGCGCTGGCGGAGCAGCCCAACTCCCCCCTGCCCCCACCCCAGGAGATGCAGGGCCCCCCATCTGTCCCGCTGAGCCTCCCTTCCCCCCAGTCCCCGTCCGCCTACCTTGGTCTCCGAGCGGCGGCGGGGAGGGAGGGAGGGCAGCGCGGCTGCGGAGGGGCGCGGAGCCGCGCGGGGCCGGCGCGGGGGCGGCGGCGGGGCGGGGGCGCTCCCCCCGCGCTGGCGGGCGCGCTCCCGCCGCACTCCGATCCGCGGCTCCATCCCTCCCGATGGCGCTGCCCGGCGCTCGCCTCCCCTCTGACGCACTTTAAAGAGTCTCCCCCTTCAACCTCAAGGCGAGTAATAGCGACCAATCATCAAGCCATTTACCAGGCTTCAGAGGAAGCTGTTTATGTGATCCCAGCACTAATTAGGCTCATGAACTAACAAATCGTTTGCACAACTTGTGAAGGGGCCGATCACATCCATGGATTGTCTTTGGACTTAGGGGGGGAGGGGGGGGGCGCGACCGCCTTTTCCTTGCAGGAGGGAAACTTCTCCCAGCAACTTTTTTTTTTTTTTTTTTTTGTGTGAGTGTGTGCGTGGTGCGTGTGTGTGTCTCCCTTTTGGGTACCGCTGGCTGCCGCTGCCTCCTTTTCCTCCAGCCCCTGTCTATTTATGTGTGTATCTATCCCTCCTCAAGTCACTCCCTGCTGCAAACTTCCCCGGATCGTCTCCCGCGCACCAGAGAGAGACGGGCAGAGATTGGGTCGGGGACTCTCGTCGCGGCAGCATGTTTCAGCCCACACCCAAGCGGTGTTTCACCATCGAGTCGCTGGTGGCCAAAGACAGCCCCTTGCCCGCGTCTCGCTCCGAGGATCCTATCCGGCCGGCGGCGCTCAGCTATGCCAATTCCAGCCCGATGAACCCTTTTCTCAACGGCTTCCACTCCACTGGCAGGGGGGTCTACTCCAACCCGGACTTGGTCTTTGCAGAGGCCGTCTCCCACCCGCCGAACCCGGCCGTGCCGGTCCATCCCGTGCCCCCTCCTCACGCCCTGGCCGCCCACCCGCTGCCTGCTTCGCACTCCACGCACCCGCTCTTCGCCTCGCAGCAAAGGGACCCCTCCACCTTCTACCCGTGGCTAATACACCGCTACCGGTATCTGGGCCACAGGTTCCAAGGTACGTGTAACTTTTCTTCGCCTTCCCATCCAGCCCCGCATCCCCCGGCCGGTCCTCGCGGCGCGGATGTTGGGGGACGGCGGATGGGGGGCGGCCCCTGCCCGGAGCGGAAGACTCGGCTCGGCCGGGCCCGGGGTCTTTTGTCCCTGTCTCCCCCCCGCCAAACTTGGGAGAGCTGTCAGAGCCGAAGAGCTTGGGCTTGGTTTTGTTTTGCTGCTTTTCCCGGTTTGTTTTGGTTTCCCGGGAAGAGGGGGGCAAGCGGGAAGGCAAGGCCGGCTGGGACTTCGTCAGCTTTCTGCCCCCATTAAAAGCAGACGAAAAGGTGGATAATTTTTGTTCCGGTGTGTTAAGAGCTAGAGAGGAGCCCCCGAAGGAAGCGGCCGTGCAGAAAGGGGAACGGAGAAGTGCTGAGGCTGAGGTTCCCCCGGGAAGGCGGCGGTGCCCGCCGGGCTGCGGGGCCGAGCTGCAGGAAGCCCCCGCCGCCGCCCCAAGTGCGGCCGCTGCCCTTGTTAGAGGGGAAGAAACGAAGCGAACCCCAGAGAAAGGAGGAGGGGAGTGTGTGTGGGGAATTAATCCCAGCGCCGGAGCAGCACGGGGAGATGGGGCTGCAGAAGATAGCCGGGGAAGGGACGCGGAGGGCGATCCCGACCGTGCGGGCAGCCAGGGGCTCCAAATGCCAAGCGATTAATAACCAGCTGAAGGGAAATAACCGAATCCAATGGCGGACAATCAATAAAATCCCCCTTGCTTAACCCTTTGTAACCGGCAGCGTCTTCTCCGAGGGGTGAGCCGATTTCTCCCGTAATGGGTCCGGCTTCTGCCACTTTCATTATAGGCAAACCAACAAACAGAACAAAATCAGCCTCCACTCGCAGGGATCCATCTGCCTTTTTTTTTTTTTTTCTTTTTTTTTTCCCCCTTGTGTTTTCATTTTTAAATTCGGAACGAAAACAAACCACCTGCATGTTGCATTTTCCCCGGCCTTCCACAGCCGGGCCGCTGCAGCCGGCTTGAAAAAGGAGCCACTCTCTCCAAAGCCAGGCGGTCTGAGACACAAAATGGATTATTACCCTTTCAGAATAAAATTACAGGTTTCGCTCACCAAATTATTTGTCGCAGGCACCAGGCGATTGGTAACGAGGGGTAGATGAAAGGCGGAAATGTCCTGGTGTTGAGCCACAGCCTGATTTCAAACACACCCTCCTCCTCCAACGATTTTGAAAGCACTTACAGAGAGAGCCCCTCGGTGCCGTTTCCACCTTGGAAGGACCAGCCCGGAGAAGCGGCACAGGGGCACCCCGGAGGGAAATGCCCCCGAAAAGCCCCGGCTCACCACCCCCCGCGCCCTCCCCCGCTCCAGTGCAGGCCGGCAGGAATGGGATGGGATGGAATGGGATAAGATGGGATGGGATGGGATGGCCGCTCTGTGGCCTCCTCGGAGTTTGATTCTTTATTTCCACGCCGGCTCCCAGCGCCGCCGAGGCAGCGGGAAGGGTCATTGGGCCGGGAAGGCGGCGGTGGGAGCCCCGCTGCGGGCAGCACACCGGCGAACGAAGGGAAGCGGCGGGAGGAAGGCTCCGGCCGAAGTTTTGGGCGAGGGAAGCCGAGACAGGCCGGGGGAGCAGGCGGGCGGCTCCGGTGGGCGGCCAGGGAGCCCCGAGAGCAGCGGGCCGCGAAGGGAAGATGGAAATAACAAACAAACAGGGAAAGCCGTGAGGCTCCGGTGGTCGGGGGGCAGGGGGGCAGCCGTGAGGTGTAGCCGCAGACACCGCAGCCGTGCTCTGGCCAATTCTTTTTTTCTTCTTCTTTAATTTCTGTAGTGCTCCCCAGGTTGTGTTTTAGCATTTTAATTTATACCAGTCCTTTCCTCCCCCTGCTTATTTATCCTTTCCTTCCACATATTTATCAAAGGAAAATTCAATACAAAGAAGGAGTTGAAAAATAAAAAAGAAACTATAGTTGGATTTATCCTGAGGGTAATGATGGGAGACAGAAATTGTTGCGCTGAGAAGTGCTGTCGAGTGCGTTTGGGGAAGGTGTTTTACTAATCTGTTTTACCCTGTTTCCCAGGGAATGAAACCAGCCCGGAGAGCTTCCTATTGCACAATGCACTGGCCAGGAAACCCAAACGGATCCGTACAGCTTTCTCCCCATCCCAATTACTGAGACTGGAACATGCCTTTGAGAAGAACCATTACGTAGTAGGAGCGGAGAGAAAACAACTGGCACACAGCCTCAGCCTCACGGAAACTCAGGTAAGGGGCAAGCAGGGAATGGGCAGCTGGGAAAGTGAAAGCACGGGCATCTCCTGTGGAAAACCCAGCCGGCCGGGCCGAGATTCGGGCAAAGGCGAATTCTAGGGGTGTTTAGGCCTCCAGTCCCGAACCGGTGGAGTGGAGAGAGGGATCTCCCCAGCCTGCGTGCCGTAAAATCCTTTTCCCGTTCGGGATTCGGCCCGTGCCGGGGTCGCGGTGCCTCGGCCGGGCGTGGGGAGCCGCAGCGCTCGGGGCGCGGTTTGGGGTCCCCGGGCAGCCCCTGCTGGAGCTGCGGCCCGAGCGGGGAGGCAGCGGCGGAGCTGCGATCTGCGGGTCCGGTCGTTTCGCTGCGGGGCTGGTGTGACCCTCAAGAAGGAGTTGGATGTTAGGGGAAAAGCCCCCAGAACAAATGCGGGGGCAAGGGGGAGAACTTCCCCTTCAGACCCTACAGCAGAAACACAGTTTCTCGGGTGAATTTTCACTCGTTTCTAGCCGACAGAGGGGATGCGACGAGCCGGTTCAGGAGGGCAGAAAGATGAAAAATAAAAGCAGAGAAATTACTCGCAAGGAATCCCCCCCCTTACCCCTTCCACCCCCCTCCCCCCATGCCCCAGCCGGCTGGCTGCGGGCCAGAACCGCACCGGAGACTGCTTCGGTCTCTCTGGCGGGACGCTCGGCGATGTTTCTGCCACGGTGGGGCCGGGCCGAGGGTCCCGGCAGGTACCGGGGCCGGGCCCCCGTGGGGCGGCGCGGAACGGGCCGGGAGCAGCGGCGGGGCTCCCCCGACGGCCGGGGAGCCGGGGCTGCGAGCGCGTTTTTCACGGGGTTTTCTCCCCGCCGGAAGAAAGGCTGGAGTTTGGAGGATTGGTGGTGGTTGTTGTTGTTGTGGTTGTTGTCGTGTCGGGTTTTTGTTTTGTGCCCTTCCAGGAGACTCGTGGAGAGAGGGTTCCAGATGGGGATTGTCTCTGCTACAGTATGTGGCACTGTACTAAAAAAAAAAAAAAAAAAAAAAAAAAAAAAAAAAAAAAAGCCAAAATACCCAGCCGCAGCCTAGTTCAAAGTTCCCAGTAAACACAGCGTTCTCTGGGCGGATTAAGTTGTAACACTTTTTTTTTTTCCTTAACTCCTTTTCGTGGGGGAAGCAATAAAGAGGTTGGAGCTTTTGTTTTAAAATGTCTCCCTAACAAAACAATAAAAAGGGATCGCCACTTTTATGAGGTTCCCCGAACAAGGGACCGGTCACAGGCTTATTTCTACTGGAAAGCTGTATTTAAGGTGGTCTTTGTGCTGCTTGATTCCGAAGCTGGTTGGGGTCTTTTGTCCGGATGTCAAACCCCCAGTCCCCTACAAATGAGCTCCCTTTTGGGAGATCAGCGTGCAGAAATGAACCGTCCTCCCCTTCAATTAGCAAACTAAAAGCAAATTAAACTCACCCCTTGTTCCCCGCTCAGCTTTTTAATGGGGGACTTTTGGAGAATATGAAAATGCAGCAGAGATGTGTGTCCGGCCAGTCAGGTCTCTGTTCTGAAGAGGCAGCGAAGCGGGTTAAACCAGCTTATTAAAATGCTCCAGTTCCCTTTCCCCCCCTTGCTGAGGCCTTTATCAGACACTTTCAGACAGAACCAGAGTTTAAATTGCTTAAAAAAAAAAAAAAAAAAGTTTACCTTTGGACGCTACAAGGAGTGTGGCCAGCCCTGGAGATAGCTCCCGGATCAATACTATCTGTAATTAAAGCACTGAAGTCAGCTGCCGGATGGTTCAGTCAGATTTACGCGGCGCTGAACAAAATCGGAGGGATATTCATGATGCCACTTACCAGTTCCACCGCGCCTCGATCGCTCCTGGACGGCGCGTCCCGGAGAGATGCTGCGGAGAGCGACGGACCTTTTTCAATTTGGGCCATTTTTGTACATTTTGTTCGCTTTTCCACGTGGAAAAAAATCCCGTGCGTCCGCTCCCCAGCCCCATCAGAACGGACGAGGCCCTGCCTTTGCTGTGCTCTGCCGGGCAGGTGGGAGCCCCGCGGGCCGGGGTCCCCGCCGCAGCCCCGACTGCTCTCCAGGGGCTGGGGGCCGTGGGACACCTCGCCGGGAGCGGGGAAACGGAGCCTCTCGGGCCGAGGGGACGGCCCACGGGTGAGCTCCACGCAGCGTGGGCTGCCTGGGCGCTGCGGTGATCCAGGAGCATCCCCCGGCGGTGCCGCACGCTCCTGAGCGCTGCGAGCCCCGGAGGTGCCGGGGGCGTGGGGCAGCCTAAGCGTGCCCTTCTCGCAGAGGTTTGGGTGGCAGCGGGGCCCCCGCTCTGCTGGCCAGGGTGACAGCAGTGGGGACAGCACCGGCAGGGCACGGGCCGGGTGGCACACGGAGCAGGAGGGGAGTGGAGCATCTCCCTGGTCCGGGCAGGCGTGGGACTAACGCCCGGTGCCTTTCCTCCCGCAGGTAAAAGTATGGTTTCAGAACAGACGGACGAAGTTCAAGCGGCAAAAGTTGGAAGAGGAAGGTTCAGACTCACAACAGAAGAAAAAAGGGACTCATCACATTAACCGGTGGAGAATCGCCACCAAACAAGCCAGTCCAGAGGAAATCGACGTCACGTCGGACGATTAAAAACTGGCACTTTTGGACTTTTCAAAGCCAGCACCCCACCAACCGAAAGTGTTAAAGGCTCACCCCGCCACCCCCGCGGCGTGGCGGTGCGGGGAAGGACCCGGAGATCTTCATCAAAACACGATTCCCGGCCGGGAGGGAGCTGGGAGCGAGCGAGGGCCAGCCAGCGAGGGCTCCGAACTGTGGCACCGCTCTGGCAAAGGGATCTGTCAATCAAAGCCAAAACACCGGGACGAAGTGATTGACAGGTATTCCGTTTATCGCAGTCCACTTTTAAAAACATAACGTAAAAAAAAAAAAATAAAAAATATATAGAGAAAAAAATCTTAAAAAGAAAAAAAAAATAGAAGCAAAAAAAAAAAAAAAAATGCCCCCAACCAAACCAGAAAAATTAACACCTTACGGGACATTTTGCACTTCACGGTTTTTTCCGTCTTTGAAAGAGAAATTTCCATAAGCAGCCAAAACTCACACCTGTTTCAGAAACTTGAATTGCATGTGTAAAGCCGTCTGGGGAAAAAAAAAAAAAAAAAAAAAAAAAAAAAAAAAAAAAAAAAAAAAAAAAAAAAAAAAAAAAAGGAAAAAAAAAGAAAAGAAAAGAAAAAACCGGGGAAAAATTACTCCGGTTCCTAAAGACAGAAATTAATTGTAATTTTTTTTTCCCCTTTAAGACAGGTTCTGTGTGCTTTTTAATTTTATTTTACGAGAAATGTGCAGTCTGTAAACATTTTATAATAACTTCTGGCGTCAAAGTGTTTGTGAAAGCTAAATGAAGTAGCAGTAACAAAGCATAGTGTTCCTTCCGGATGGACAAACACGGTGGGGAGGGGAGGGACGGGAGGGAAAGGCGGGGGGGCGGGGGAGGTTGGGGTTGGTCATAACTTTTGCTGGAAAAAAAAAAAATCAAATGGAATTATCTCCCCCCCCTCCCCCCAACTGTATCCCCATTGCAAAACCGGATGATGATTACTTTTTTTTTAAGATTTACAAAGCGCAAACCCAGCGACCAGTTTTGGCGGTGGGGACACCTTCTAGGCTGGGAGGATCCAGAGAAAAGGGACTTAAAATCGCGGATTGATTTTTTTTTCCTAATGACCATTTTCATTGGGTCAATTTTCAAGCACTGACCTTATAATATTCCGAGATCATAGAGCTACTAAAAAAAAAAAAAAAAAAAAAAACGAAATGTGCAGTCTGTAAACATTTTATAATAACTTCTGGCGTCAAAGTGTTTGTGAAAGCTAAATGAAGTAGCAGTAACAAAGCATAGTGTTCCTTCCGGATGGACAAACACGGTGGGGAGGGGAGGGACGGGAGGGAAAGGCGGGGGAAAATCAAACAAAACAGTGACAAATGTTTCCTTCATGTCTCCTATACCAGAATGTAAATATTTTTGTGTTTTGTGTTTAATTTGTTAGAATTCTAACACACTATATACTTCCAAGAAGTATGTCATTGTCAATATTTTGTCAATAAAGATTTATCAATATGCCCAAATTTTTTAAGCAATATCTTTCCCCTTCACCCCCAAATTTCTCGGAAACCCATGGTTTCCCCCCACACCGCCTTGTTTTCAGCTGCTGAGCCCCCGCGGCCGCGCCGCGCATTCCTGCGGCCATGGGCGCATTTTCTTAATGTATTCGCTGGCTGCTAAATAGACCTCTAAAAACAAGCCGCAGAGGCGCACTTGCTGTACATAAATACCCCAAACCCCCCGAAACAGAACCAACCAACCAAACAAAAACCTCAAGGAGAAAGCCAGCCCCTTCCCTGGTTAGAAACTGAAGCGCGGACCCGTTCGTGATGGTGAAACTGGTCGGCAGCAGCCGCGCTCCGCAGAGAGAGGCTTTTCTCGGCAAAAATACGTGTTTATTTAGCGAGGGAGGATTTTTTTTTTTCTGGTCTTTTCCCCCATCTTTTGCATCCCCTGTGCAGGTCGGTGCGCTGAGGAACAGGTCCTGTGAGCAGAGGCTGCGCCCCAGCTGCTGCTCTCCCTGCCGCTCTCAAGGAGCGATCCTGGGCGCGGAGTAAAACTCTGACATTAAAGAGGTGGGGGAAAGGAAAAAAAAAAAAAAAAAAAAAAAAAGAAAAAAGAAAAGAAATGTTGCTCTGGGTCCTTGAGGAAACTAGCTGGTTTTCTGGGGGTACACAGTTGTTTTTTCATGCTTCATTTGCTCCTTAGCCTGATAGACTGCATTAATCAGTTTTATTTCCATTGATAGAGAAACCTCGTCTGCTCTGTTCGAGCTACAAAGAATCCTGCAAGCTTTTGTGAAAGTGCAAATCAGTTTAGGCAATTATCATACCAGGAATATGAAGGGGAAAGAGGAGGCATTGCCCAGTGGTCTCCTTTAATCTCTTAATCCGTGGATCCAGGGGGGCTAGTTGGACATAATTTAGGACAATCTGACTACCCTTTACACTGTGATAAGGCGAAGTTACAATGCATCGCAAAAATACGAGCTTTGTTAAACATACTGCCTTGAAAAGTTAAGATTAGACATTCTGTGCACGTGTTGGCTCTATCGGGTACTATGTAAATTTAATTTTTTTAAAAAATATCCGATTTTTTTTTTTTTAAAGCATCTCTTCTTATACAATCCCGGTGACTTTCCATTCACTTGTGCTACCAATATGAGAGAGGCCCAGTCAGGGTTAGGACGCATGTCGCAATGCAGTCCCTTCCATTTAAACCTAGGCTAATTATTTAGTAGAGCTATTCCCAAGGTAAACTTCTCGTCGCGTTTCTTCCCTCCTCGAACAGCTGATGGTGCAGATCTGGAAACCAAGCAGGACGCACATTTCCCCTGAACTCGCCCAAGCTGCCTCGCTCTCCACTTCAAACCCGGGCAAATGGGCAAACATTAAACGGATTGCGGCCGAACAGCAGACTTGGGCCTTTCTAGAAATTGTTTCCCATCTTGATAAAAGACTTATTTCTGCAGGAACCATATATTTCTCCCCCCACCCTTTTTTTTTTTTTTTTTTTTTTTTTTTTTTTTTTTTTTCCCGTGGGGGGGGGGGGGGAGGGAAGAG